ATCTATCCATAAAGTATGTCAATCGACTTCAAACAAATATAAATAGGTCATCCGTTGGGCTATGTCTGCACTTCTAGAAAACGTAACTACGTAATTCTATGCTCAATTTTTTAAGTTGTGCAAAATTTGATGTCAATCTGACTAACATGAGGAGTTTGATGCCCAATTTACTAGAAATCGGGCGAAAATATATATGGAAGCTCTATCCAAATATTGAGCGATTTCAAACAAACTTGTCACAGGTTAGGTTATACAACTTTCAGAACGTTTTATTCCAATTGGTTCCTTAGTACGTCAATTACTTAAAATCAATCTATAATAAAAGGGAGCTATATCTAAATCTGGACCGATTTTCACGAAACTTGGCAGACATCATTCTAGACTCAATTCAGTACGTTAGGCCAAAATTCGTGCAAATCGGAAGATATTTAGCGACTTTGGTGGACCATTTACATCCAATCGGACGAAACTATATATGGGAGCTATATCTAAATCTGGACCGATTTTCTCCAAACTTGGCAGACATCCCTCTAGGCTTAATTCAGTACGTTATGCCAAATTTCGTGCAAATCAGAAGATATATAGGGACTTTGGGCACTATTTACATGAAATCGGACGAAACTATATATGGGAGCTATATCTAAATCTGGACCGATTTTCACGAAACTTGGCAGACATCATTCTAGACCTAAATGATTAGGCTGTACCAAATTTCGTGCAAATCGAAAGATATATAGGGACTTTGGGGCACCATTTACATGAAATCGGACGAAACTATATATGGGAGCTATATCTAAATCTGGACCGATTTTCTCCAAACTTGCCATACATCACTCTAGGCTTAATTCAGCACGTTATACCAAATTTCGTGCAAATCAAAAGATATATAGGGACTTTGGGGCACCATTTACATGAAATCGGACGAAACTATATATGGGAGCTATATCTAAATCTGGACCGATTTTCACGAAACTTGGCAGACATCATTCTAGACCTAAATGATTAGGCTGTACCAAATTTCGTGCAAATCGAAAGATATATAGGGACCGTTTACATTAAATCGGTTAAATATATATGGGAGCTATATCTAAATCTGAACCGATTTTTCCCAATTTCAATAGGGTTCGTCCTTGGGCCGAATAAGTGACCTATGCCAAATTTCATCCAATTCGGATCATAAATGGACAGACGGACAGACGGACGGACGGACGGACATGCATAAATCGACTCAGAAAGTGATTCTATGCATATTCTCAAAAGGAACCATGTGTCTATCTCGTTTCCTTTTGCCTGTTACAAACATATGCACAAAGACATAATACCCTGTACCACAGTGTGGTGAAGGGTATAAAAAGAAAAACATAAACAACGAGTTTTTCAATTGACCTAGAGCCAAAACAAAAATCCACAAGAATTAACATATCACAGGTCAACAATAACAACATATTTCTCTCATATAAAGTTTATCCGATTATATGTAAGTGGTGCACCAACTCCCAATATTTGTCCGATTGAGACAAAATTTTGCACAGCCTATTGAATTAGGTCCTGTTTGATATTTATGGAGTTTTGTTGAAATCGGTTTAGATTTAGATATAGTTGTCATATATAGCTTCGTCCGATTTTTGGTAAATGGTGCACCAAACTTTCAATATTTATTTCAATTGATACAACATTTTGTACAGCGTATTGAGAGAGGTCCATATTAATGCATACGACGTTTTGTGAAAATCGGTTCAGATTTAGATAAAGCTCCCATTTATAATTTCGTCCAATTTTTGGTAAATGGCGCACTGAGGAGCCTATGTCTGTTCCATATACACGAGATAAAATTGTGGAATGCGCTCTGTGCTGCAAACGGTATATGCCACGGTTGCTCAATTATGTCTAGAATTACATATAGCTCCACATACTCGATTACATAAAAATGGTACACAAAAAATCTGATTGGCATACAATTTTTCATAGAATTCAGAATGGTATGTTCATGGGGTTTTTAATTGGTTCAAATATCTATGTAGATCACACATTTAGTTTTGCCCCATTCCATTTCAATGGTCCTCTAAAGATTATATGTCTGTTCTATCTAAAAGACATTGTATATATTAGCATCTCTTGTATGTATCCAAAGTGATGAAGGGTATCATATAGTCGGCCCCGTCCGACTTACTGATATTAGTTTTACGACAGGGCAAAAACCAGAACATTAAATAGTTATTTTTCGCAATTTTAATCTACTGTATCAATAGATGGCGCTGCAGTATTAGACTTTAAGCAATTTTTTTGTTGTGTAGTATGAAAACCATCCCGACTACATTGGGGTACATATTTTTCTGGATTGAAAGGCTTGACGGTGAAATTCGTAGGACAAATGGCGTAGGGCTTTGTGACTTTGCTAGTTTATATATGGTTAGTTTTTTTCCAGAAGTTGAAATTTGGGAAAGTACCAGATGAGGGAAGGTTCCAGATGAGGTTGACCTATAGACCGCGTCTTAGCATTTAATGTAGGTTTGCCAAAATATTACGATGTAAAACAAAGGATCAAATTTGTTATTCTATTAGAATATGTTGGAGGATTAATGGCTCTTCTAATGTGTCTATATTTGTGTATCTGTGCGGGAACAATAGCCAATAATGAGTTAAGCCTAGCATGTCGTATATTAAGATGAACTCAAATTGTGCCACAAGTGTTTGTGCACTTGGCATGGTATATGTTCAAATGTACATAAATCATTGATATAATTGAGTCCAATCGTTCATGGAAGATGGTACAGAATAACATATCGCTCATTTGCTGCATGACAGTCATAACTCAAAAAAAAAGATTTCCGGGCTGATGATGCACGATTGTTTGCTATAATAGACCTCAAGTTGTGTAAAAAATTCATATGAATATCTCTTATACACTCTAATTGAGAAACTTTAGAAATTCCTCTATCCGATATAAATTGTGAGTAAATTGAAAACCTAAAACGCATTTTCTGCAAAATTCGTTTTTTTATGCCTGTCTTGCATATATATTGGACTATAGGTCTCAATAAGAATCTAAGAAACACCAACTGGTTGCTGTTTATACCTTTCACCACACTGTGATAAAGGGTATTATGCCCTTGTTTGTAACAGGCAAAAGGAATCGAGATAGACCCATGGTACCTTTTCCGAATATGCATAGAATAACTTTCTGAGTCGATTTATGCAAGTCCGTCTGTCTATCCATATTTAATTTTAAACAAAGTACAGATCGCATTATTGATATATATCTTTCGATTTGCACGAATTATAACTTTCACATATGCATATATATTCGTCCGATCTTACATAAATGGTGCACCAAATTCCTAGTGTTAGTCGTATATTAATTTTCGCGAAAATCGGTTCAGATTTAGATATAGCTCCCATATATTTTCGTCCGATTTTATGTAAATGGTGCACTAACGTCCCTATATATCCTTTGATTAGGCATAGAGTACTGAATTGCGTCTAGAATGGTGTGTGTTAAGTTTCGGAAAAATCGGTTCAGATTTCGATGTAGCTCCCACCTATACATATATATTCGTTCGATTTTTCATAAATGGTCCACCAAACTCCTAGTCTTTGTCCGATTAACACGAAATTTTGCACAACGTATCAAATTGAGACTTGAATGACGTTATTGCGTTTTGTTGAAATTGTTGCAGATTCAGCCATAGCTTTCATACGTATTTCGAGCGAGTGTCTGCTAAAAATTAAGATTTTAACAGTGCGGCGTACCGAATAGCGTGTAACAATTTTGCTATAAATCGTTTTCCATAAATTTATCCATGGTACGCAGACGACTATAAATCTGCCAGAATGAAAATTAATTTATCATAGTTTGGAGGAAGACATCAGTATATTCCTTCGAGGGAACATTGACATTCAATTGTAAGGATACATATGTACCCAAAGTGGTAAAAGGTATCATTTAGTCGGCCCAGTCCGACTTTACTACTTTCTTTACTTGTTTTTTTTTTCGTATTTTGGTATGTATCGTCATCAACTCTAAGCTGTTTTTCCCTTTGGTTAAGCCATAAAACCCAAAAGCCTTTTGATTAAAAAACAAAAGATTTTTATTTTTAACATTTGAAATATTTCTCATTTATTTTTTATTTATTTGGGAAACATTCGTTATTTTTTTTTAATTTTTTTTAATGCGCAGATTTGTTTTGTTCAAAATTTAATACTAAATACTTTTGCGTAAATTATGTCAACTTAACTACAAATGTTTATATACATTTTTCGAACTATAAATAAAACTTAACACAAAAAATAATAATAAAAAAAACAAAAAATTATATGAGAACACAAATCTATTGTGAATGATTTTGGTTGTATATATATAAAACAAAACTAATTAAATAAATTAAATATTCTTTCTTAAAGACTAATAACACATTAAATAGATTTATAAAAATTTAATGACAATAATTATTGGGGTGGGAAGTCGAGTACTCAAATTCTCAAGAATTGAAAATATAATTTTTATTATTTTTTGTTGGCTTGTGAATTAAGAATCCCGACTTCCTCCCAATTGTTATTGTTTATGGTTATGAGAGCATCGTGAATCTTATGTATAAATATATAGGTATATAGAAAAAACCATTAACAAAAAATTAACCAGAATTTTATGTGGGTTTTCTAGAATCGCTACAAATTCAGTTACAAACTGAAATTCAATGAAAATCACTTCAAAAATAATGTCTATCTCTAAAAAAAGAAAGGTATTTCTCATTTTGGATTAATATAACTGGGAGATGTGTGTGTGTGTCTTATAGAAATTTACAATATTTTGTTTTTGCCTATTTTAAATTTATAAAATAAATATATTTCATTTTTTGTATACACATAAAACAACATTCGAGTTCTTTTTAATGGATTATTTACAACTTATTATTTTTTACTTGGTCTTAAATTAATACAAAATACCCTGGATTATATACACCCGCCCTAGCATGATGTTCGGCATCATTAACCTCTTGAGGCTACACTCTTGGCACAATGGTGGTGGTGGTGGTGTAGACGGGTACATTGTGGAAATTGATGCCACTGTAGAGAGGAGCACCAATTGTAGATTTACCCGAGGTGTGCAAATGTTTTTTGGGCAACGAAGCTGCCGATTTGGTGGTGGTATTGGTCATCGATGATGTGGGCGTGGGTACCAAACGACTACGATAGGATTCACATGTTTTACGAGACCATACCCACATACCAGTCAGGGTGCCTCCAGTTAATTGGAAGAACAAACGCAGCAGTGTCGGCCATGCAATCAATGGTGTGGGTGAGGCACAATCCTCCCGTGTCGAACATGTGGGCACCGAATCCATGTGAGGTTCAAAAAATCTCGACACCACCCCAGCCAAAGTGGGTACAAGGAACAGCAACGAGAATATCAGAAAACGTTTACGGATTTGTGAAAATCTTTGATGGCCAAATGTGGGCAACATTTGTTGTTGCAGGGCATGTAGAGATCTGGAAGCTCGCAGAGTAAAAAAGAAACCCAATAGCAGGAGAACCATGGTGGGTATTTCCACAAAACCTGGAGCCGTACACATGCCAGTCAATTCATTGGGTTTAACCTTTTCCATTAGCAATGCCGCAATGGGAGGTGCCAATGGTGGTACCCAAGCCAAAACGTGGAACAATCCCGATTTCTTTTCCAATGCCTCCGAAGACCATTTCTTGTGTGATGAGAGATAAAAACATAGAGCAAATATTAACCACCAGGTGGCAGCACACAAACTTAAATAACTCGTCGTAATGTAGGAAGCCAAACAGGGTGGTGCCAAAGAGCATGCCGGATGTTGTGTCTTACTCAGCGGATCTTCCATTAAGGCCATGGCCCTTGAGGAATTGTGGAATACAATTCTCTCCAAATAGCAAACGGAGAACAGGTTATAGCACAGACACAAAAACAGTACTGGTCTTTCGGGATAACCAAATCGGGTGGGCTCAGCCCAAAATGTAACCAAGGAGAAGAGTGTTAGGACAAAACATATTGCCGATAGACCCAATATTAGACTTTCAGCAATTTTCTTTTGTTGTGTAGTATGGAAACCATCCCGACTGCACTGGGGTACACACTCATCGGGATTGAAGAGGTTGACGGTAAAATTTGTTGGACAAATGGCGGTGGGCTTAATGGCTTTGCTGATGATGTGCTGAGACATCCATGGCCAATAGAAATGATGATTGGGTGCTGGTGCTGGTGGTGCCATAGCTACACTCGGACCTCCCGAATGTGTTTGCAGCAAATGATGTTGTTGCACCTGTTGTGGTATTTGTAATTGTCTTGGCAATTGTTCAGCTTTGCCCACCTCGGCTGATGTCCGATTGTCGTCATTGGTGGTGAGAGCGGTCGCCGTTTTCACCGTCGGTATTGTGGGTATTTGCATACACAATTCCTGATGTTCTGGGCTGGGTAATTGTTCGCATTTTAAAAATTCCGGCCATAACTGCATTAGCTCAGTATGTGATGAACATTCGCTCTTTACAAATTCACACAATGACTTGCAGGCTGTCACCGGCCGGGGTACATCTGGTGTACACAGCGGGAAGAGTGATGAACATAACAGGAAACGTATTGTATTGGAACAATGTGATTCGATTAATGGCAACAGTTTGGTGATCTGCAAAGAGAGAAATAGAGAGGGGGGAATTGTTAAATTACTTCGATTTTTATTAAAAAAACTAAAATAAAATAGAATTTAATACAAAAATTCCTATACAAAAAAGTTCTCATTTACTAAGGAAATTTTTTCTATAGTAAAAGGTCCTCAATAACTGAGGACGAAAACAGGTCCCCAATTACTGAGGACGATTTTTTTATAGAAAAAAGGTCCTCAAATAATGAGGACGATTTTTTCTATAGGAAAAAGGTCCACAATTACTGAGGACGATTTTTTTCTATAGAAAAAAGGTCCCAAATTACTGAGGACGATATTTTTCTATAGAAAAAAAGGTCCTCAAATAATGAGGACGATTTTTTTTAAAAAAGGTCCCCAACTACTGAGGACGATTTTTGTCAAAAAAAGGGTCCTCAACTACTGAGGACGATTTTTTTCAAAAAAATGTCCCCAACTACTTTTCTATAGAAAAAAGCTCCTCATTTTCTGAGGACGATTTTTTTCTATACAAAAACAGTCCTCAATTACTTACAAAAACATTTTTCTAAAGAAAAAAATCCTCAATAACTCAGGACGAATTTTTATTTATATCGAAAACATACAAAAATGAAATTATTCTTGTAAAATTCTTCAAGTCCACTAAATTCTAACCAGAATATTTCAGCCTATATATCCCTTCCTTCGCCGGTGTGAAAGATTTACTCACCTCAAGCCATTCACAAATTCCGAAAGAAATAAATTTGAAAAACATTAAACCTTGAAGCGTTGAATATTGCAATTCGTTACAATTCAATGGAAACTTCTTTGATCGACGGAATACATTACCGCCAACCAAAAAACAAGAAACCACAATGGAAAGCAAAACAACAAAATGAAAATAAGAAACGCCTGGCAGACAATGACGAATCATAAAAAAAAACTAAAACCAAAAATACAGATAAGCCTTACAAAGAAACTTTGGGCTAAACACAAACCACAGAGAATAAAAAAAAATCGAAATAAACTCTAAGCCAAAGATAGACAGATGAACAACATAAAAAAACCCACCGACATTGCCTCCAAACATATATAACATCCAATATTATTTATTATTTGTTTTTTTATAGAAAAAAGTGTATAATCATAATAATTACTATGTAGTTCTCCCCTGAACTCTTCACAGAAACAAAATTAAACAAAATTTTAGACTACACTTTGATACTTATGACAGGGTACAAAACGTAACATAGATATTTGGTCAGTTGGCTAAACAGGTCTGCTAATATGGTGTAGGAAATAAAAACGAATCGAAAACAACAACGACCCAACTTCATTAATAATATTTTTCAAAATTATTATTAATCTTAATTCCGTAATGATTTCATTTTGATTTTAATCAATGTGTAGCAGTTCAAATTTTGCCCAAAATCTTTTAGATGAAATATTTTTTTTTTAATTTTAAATATTTTAACATTTTACTTTGTTGTTGCAATTGCTCTTTTGAGATGATATGATTATTTAATTGTATATTAAGGTATTCAACATTTGTTATTTTGACTGCAAAAACTCTATACTTTGGTTGTTATCATTACAATCACAATCTTATACAAAAGACTTAAGACACAAACTTCCTGAGTATAATTGTGAAAAAAATTGGAGAAAATGTGAAAAAATAGAAAAATCCAAATGTCTCCCCATGACATATTTTTGTGTTGCTAATTTACGATATGTGCAAATATCGTAAAAATATATCGTAAATTTTCCGACATATTTAAAAATTGAAAAATTTGCAAAATTATTTTTTGATAGGCTTAAATTTTATCAGAAATTCATGAAAAATTTTTCATTTTTTAAGCCACTTTTATGAAGATTTATAAAGAAGAGTTGTCTAAAAATCAAATTTTATAAAACATAACACATAAATTAAATTAGTCCTTAAAAAAAAAACAAGTGAAAAAGCATTAAGTTCGGCCGGCCCGAACTTTGGATATCCTCCGTCCTAGATATACTGGCAGGTACTTGAAATGAAACTATAGGGAACATATCAAAAAATGAACCTATACCGACATTTCTACAATCCGATTATGTTAAAAATAATTTTTAATAGAAAATTATACCCTCAGCCTTATGGCTAATTAGTGTGTATACACTTTCACACGGTGAAAATGTGCCTCATCGAAATATTGGTTCTAGACCCCATGTTTCTTGGGACCAAATCCGTTTCAGAAAAATTTGATTTCATCCCATCTTATTATGTCTTCCAAACTTAGTTCAAGACCGAGCTATGCCTAAACGTGGACCGATATATACCATCTTCGAACTTGACCTGCCTGCAGACAAAAGACAACCCTATGCAAAATTTCAGCACCTTATCTAAGTTCCGAACGATTTTAGGTAGTTTGAACGCCCATCTCATGGCGGAAAGTATAAAAATCCAATCGAACTTAACAAAGTTTTTTCTTTATTTCCAATTTAAAGCAGTGAGCGGAGCAGTATAGTCGGACGGGGCCGACCATATGATACTCTACACAACTTCGATGAAAAACTAACTTTCTATGGTTCTATATTCAGAGCTTGGGCAATATTTCGAGATATTTGCACCCTCTAGACCGACTTGATGTCAACAGATATTTCTAATATTCAGTAGACGAGGGCTGTACATGTCTGTGTTCTCTTTACCGTGGGTTATGTTGTGATGTTGAGCTTTCAGTTGTGGCCTGTAGATCGACTTGGAAAAAAAAAACACAAATAGTTAAGTTTTCGGTTCTCTTCATTCCAATATTATAGAGCACCAGACAATATTTAAGTGTAACTTCCGCATCCGAGTACATACGACAATATAATTGGCATCAATTTAAAGATCAACACCTCTTTTTGGATATACTATAAACTTTTTGGCTCTATGTCCTTCAGGAGTAAATATATACGCTATAGAATACACATTTTGCCATTTTTCACACAAAAGTCAGGGTCCATTTGACCCGCTAAATATTGACCGATCTTTTTCAAAAAAGGCATGCATTTTCTTTGGCCCAACCCCTTCTCCATGTAAAAATTCGAGATGCTTGAGCCATAATTGCGGCCTCTGGAGCGATCAGAAAAACAGACAAAAATTTAGTATTTGATCCATTTCATCCCCTAAATATTAACCGTTCTTTACCAAAAACAATAGGGGTCTTCATTGAGCCGAACCCATCCAACATAGAAAATTTCGTGAAGATTGGTCCATAACTGTGGCCTGTATCGTGTTTACAAAATATAATGGACAGACGGACGGACGAACACACATGCCTAGATCGACTCAGCTAGTCGAGATATGACGATCGGTATACTTAAAGGTGGGTCTAGGACCAATATTTCGCGGCGTTACAAACTCTTGGGGCTGCACAAAGCTATAATACCCTAACAACATAGTTGTGTAGGGTATACAAATTTTGACATTTCCACTAAATCGAAATGTGGCTGTAATATTCCACTTTTTTATCTCAAAATTATATTTCAGTCAATTTTATATGATTTTGATGTTTGGCCATCCTAATTAAAACCAAAAATAATCCCTAAAGTATTTCAGACATTTCCGCCGGGCAGAGAGAAAAAAACCCACCCTGAAATACTTTTGACATTTTGTCTTTTCAGAAATTTCGAACAATAAATGATGAAGGATTTTTTGTTTTTGCTACAGTTTCAAAATTTTATAATGATTTCCTGGCCAACCAACCAGTTGGCATACAAAATTGTGACTAAGCAGACAACAAAAGCAATGTTGCCAAAAATAAATAAAAATCGCTTTCTAAGAAATGCCTAAAAAAGCGAACGAAAAAAACGTGAAGTTTTTTTTTCAGATTTCGGATGAACTTCAAATTTAAGGATAACTCTTTGGGATAAACGATTTAGGCATGTTGCTAAATTCATCATTTCTACTGAAGTTTAAACCAAATGCGCCACACACAAAAAAGAAGAAGAATGAAAATATTGAAAAAAAGATTGATATTTTGAGTGATACAAACTGACATTTGATGTTGTTTCTTAGGCTGCAGCGATTTGATGAGATGAGATCAACGGCAAAAACAAGAACATTAAAAAGAAACTAACCATTAAACAATACCTGACATGTTCTCATCGTTAATTCAGGAGACCATAAAACTTGATTGTCTGCTAGATTTTCCCGTTGATTGGCTGACGGGAGACGATCATAAAAAAAATGAATTTCAATGTTTGGAGTTTTTTGTAGGAATAGAAATAAAAAAGAGTGGGGAGAAGAGGGGGAGAGCGGATTATTTTTAACAAATAAAACTCAAACTCAATGTCTTCGACGTTGAGCCATCATTAAAGTTTAAAACCAGTAGGAAATTCTTTTGTAAATTAAAATACAAAAAAATAAATAAATTCTTTGTAAAGAACTATTTTTATGGCATGTGAAAGAAGCTGAGCTTTAAAAAACGATATTACGGCAAGCAAAGCATGGCTAATGAATATAAAATGCCATAAAGAAAATCTAAGCATGCATTTTTTTGTTTTTTGTTATGGAGAGTTTTCTTTATTTCTCCCCTCTTCGCCCGTTACGCTTAATTATTATTAACTACAGTTTTATTTATCTATTTTCCCCCTTCCAAAGACTAGTTAAAATAACATTAAACGTTTCTGGATTTCCTGGTCTGCCATGATCCTGCTCCATGGTGACCAATGTAATTATCATTCATATCAGTAATGGCAACACGCAACTTTGCCACGTAATACAATTGCATGTTGTTGCAATAATTATGGCGATTAAAAACAACAACATTAATTTAATTAAATGTGTGTGTGCAGAATTTTTTTTACTGTGGCTAACCAAGCCTCTAATTCTTTTGCATGCCATTTGAAAAAAAAATAGATAAAAAATTAAATGGAGTATTAGATTAAAATAAATGCCAATGAAGTTGGGACAATGTAAAAAAATTCAACAACTGGTAGTAGACAGCTAAGAATGCAGCCAAACCCACCAACTGAAATATAATGCCATTAAAAGAAAGTGGCAAGTGAGG